TAAGGTGCTGCCTCCAATCTTCTCACCACCTTGATCACTCTCATCTCGACATACCATATGGTACCAACTGTCTGTGTGTGGCCTGACCAGGGCAGAGGGCAGCAGGCCTATTCTCTGACTACTCCTCCCTCAATGTAGCCTCAGATCCCAAGAGATGGGCCTCAAAGATCAGCCTCCTCATAGCCTTGGGGCTCATGACAAAAGCCAACTCTACTAATTTCTTCATTCACTGATTTCAAATCCAGCCTTAGACTTAGCTGCCTGTGTGACCCTGGGCAAGTCACTTCTCTTCTGTCTGCCTCAGTCTGCTGATCTGTAACTTGGGGATCATCACAGCACCTCTCTCCCAGGGCTGTTGTGAGGATCAAGTGAGCTGATCGTTGTAAAGTGCTTAGTGTAGTGCCTGGCATGTCGTAGGCACTAGATAAAAGTTAGCTATTGCTGTCTGCCTCCCAAGGAGGACCTGGGAACCTTCCATCCATTGACCTACCACTTATGTCGGCCCTCAAACATGCATGTCCTATTGGGGGGCATCAGCTCTGCCAATGGCAGGTCAAGTCACTGGTTACTGAGCAAAGATCTCGATCTTGGAGCACCTGTCATAAAGGGGACAATAATATCTGCCTGGAGGGGCTAAGAAACCCCTCGGCATATGGCAGGTGAAAATGAACATGGAGCCCCTGGGAGAGGGAGCAAAGCAAGGCATGTTCATTTTAGAGGGGAGAGGGCCTGCATGGACAAGAGACATGGAAAAAGATTTTCCTTTATGGAGATTTGGGGAACCACCCCCCAAAATGTCAGAAAGTATCCCCTTACCTTTCATTAAATAGAACATCAATGGATATCTACAACGCAAAAAATAGAGACAACTTGGAATGTCAGAGCCGAGTAGAGCCTTAGAACATAGAACATGGAACATGAGAGCTGAGACCTTCACACACAGAATATCAGAGCGGAGGCCTTAGAACATAGAACACAGAATTCCAGAACTGGGAGGGGCCTTAGAGATGCTCTAGGTGTGGCTCCCTCCTGCCCCCCGCCCTGGGTTTCTAAGGATGGGATGGTGGTACAGGAGGGGCAGGGATACTGGGTTTTCCAACTCCTAAAACTGTGAGCTTTCTTTCCACTCATCACCCTGTCTCCTATGGGTAAAATCTGCAGCTTTTTCCATGGCATCTTTTCAGCCCCAATATTCTGTGGTTGTGCTGCAGGGCTGGGGTCACCCAGAAAGCAGTGAGGCAATGGGCATGCTGTGGGTTGGCCAGGCTGCTCAAGCCATTGTGGCAAAAAGAGAACTCATGAGAGAAGACAGACCTGGGAAGGGAGGCAGGCAGGGGACACCTCGCCAAGAGCCAAGCCAGGTGTCTCCCAGGTTCCCATGACATGTGAAGAAAGGGCAAGGGCAGGATCTACCCATCTCTGCCTCCCTCAGGAGCCGAGCCCCAGACCTGGGAGGGCCATCCCCAAGGATGATGGCCTCGAGGGGCCCCCTGGTGAAGAAGGAGGCCCAGGGGCTTGAGGTGCCCATCATACTACTCTTGGAAACGAAGGTGCCAAAGGAGGCCTGGGAACATTCACTCTCCTCGCCTGTTTAAGCTGAACAAGGCACCAGCTCAGCAAAGCACACAGATAAAAATAACATTTTCTCTCTGCTCATAACTCTAAAATGGACAAATGCGTCTTGTTCCCAAGGTGAAACAAAAATAAAGGATAATGGCTCCAGCACCTCGGCCGTGGGGCCCGCCGCGGCTGCCAAGTTTCAGGGAAGAATGAGTTTTTACAGTCAATTTATAACCCTCTAAAGAGTAAGATACTAATTTTACAGCAGTGCCATAGGGGGCTTGATGGAAAGACTGACATGCTCCGGGCTGTCGGACCACGTCTCCTTCATCAGCCCCAAAGCCCTGTCTCCCAAGGAACCCAAGAAGCAAATTCATTCGCTCATTGGTGAAGAGAGTGGATGGGATGGAGGGAAGGAAGAGGGGAGAAGGGGGCCGGAAAAGGAAGAGAAGGGAAGAAGAAGAGGAGGAAGGGTTTAAGAGGGGATGGCAGATCAGCTGGCTGACCACTCAGTCCTGTCCTGGGCACCAGAAGAGAGGACACGGGGGCCTCTCACTTGGGCCTTGACTGAACTCCCCTTGTCTTCACTGCAGCCTGCACCCACTCTGGGGAAGGCCCCCAGGAGCCGCTTCTGCAGGCCGGCCCTAGAACGCCGGCTCATACCAGGAAGCTTCTCCTTCCTCTCTCCCTGACCCATCCCAGGCCTGTCCTCACCAGTGTGGTGGGGGGATTCTGAAATGCAGAAACAGCCGAAGGCGAGTGAGAAGCCAGGCTTCAGAACGATCTCGTGTCAAAGCCTCTCGAGCTACAGAGAGGACAAGGGCTTTGAGACCATAGAGCCACAGCTGGAAGGGGCTTCAGAGGCCGTCCGGCTCGGCCACCTCATTTTACAGATGGAGAAACTGAGGCTCAAAGGGAGAAGTGCTTTGTCCAGGTCAGACCTACAAAGAGCAGAGGGGGGCTCCAACCAAGACCCTGAGGTCCTTCCAGCGCCCTGAGGCCCTTCCCAGGAGCACTCCCAGGCCCCCCATCTCCTCAGCCAGCGACCCCAACGCAAGATGGAGTACGGAATCGGCCCCGGGGTCATGCTCAGCGCTCTCAGCCAGCCCGGGAGGAAGGAAAGATGCTGATTCGGCAGCTGGTCGGCTTTGTCCCAGTGGAATTCAGCTCCCGGTCAGCCAGGCTTGTGTTCTCCTGAGGTGTTTCTCTTACAAGAAGTGAGAAAATGTCCCATAACTCGGGGTTAAAATTAATAGCTTGATTGAATCCAACTGACCAAGCCCTCCTCACAGCAGCTGCCCCGCACGGGACAGCTGCAGAGAAAGCAGCATTAATGGATGGAAAATTGTCACTCCCAAACATGTGAAGCCTCAAAGGGACAAAGAGGGTGGGAGTGGGGAAAGACATCTCTTTGCTTGCTGGGGTGGGAAAGCACACAGCCTCAGTGACCTCCTGGCCTCCCCAGCACTGGCCCGGCTCCAGGAGAGGGACCATGCTCCCGGGGCCGATCTGAACTCCTGGGGCCCTACCTGAACACGAGAGCGCTCTACCCCTGCCCCGACTGGCCTACTGAGCCTTTGTCTGCCTCCTGAGGCAGCCCAGCAGACTGTGGGGATAACTGATTACTCGGAAATTTTCCTTGACATCGTGGACTACATCTGCCTCCATTTACGTCTGCATCTTTTGTTCCCGTTTCCTTATTGAGTATGATCATGACTGTGTTATGGCTTGTAAAGGATGCTGCTAATATTCCCCCTTATTGCATTTACGGATGAGTCCTTCAAGTCCCAGCATGAGGTCAGTTTTTGGAAACATGACACATGGTGCTGAAAAGTAATCATATTCTTTAATATGCCCGCTCAGTAGTCAACACTGGCTTATCAGAGCTAGTTCTTCCCATGCTCTTTTCAGAGACATGAACCCCTTCCTCATTGTCTTTCTGTGAGACGTGCCAAGATCTGAAATAGGAATGGTCAAGGCCGAGGCCTGTCTGTTGCAGAGGGGGAAACTGAGGCCCAGAGGGGGGGAAGGGACTTTGACAAGGTTGCGGAAGTAAAGGCACAGGGAGGAGGGGAAGGGAAGGACAGAGAAGGTCTCAGGACTGCCGGGAAAGGTTATCGTCTAGCAGGAAGTCTGAAGGTGGGGAATGGGTCAGGGGTTCTGAGGCCAATGTTTAAGGATGAAGAACCTGAGTCTTAGGAAAGTGACTGGCAGGGTTGGCCCGAGAATCCAGAATGCAGATCGATAGAAGGGAAAACCACTGGATTTGAAGCTGCCCAGGAATCCAGGTTGGTGTGTTGGCTCTGGAAGTCACTATCTGTGTGACCTTGGGAAAGTCCCTTTGAGCCTCTATGTCTTCATACGCAAAATGATGGGGCGTGAGTTCAAACGGAGAACGACCGAGGCCCTTCCCAGCTCTGCCTCTCTGACCTCCAGGTCCACAGCCCTGAGCCCCCTTCAGGTCAATGCATGGCTGCGCCCTGTGGCAAACGCATCCTGGGCACCAGCCCCAAGGGCCTTTTAGTGGAAGGGAGAGGGGTCTTCTCACCTGGGACGCACACTCGGAATTCCCCAGGGGCCAGAGGCTTCATCTTCCTCATACTACTCAGCCTCTGTGGGTCTTGATGCTCACAAATCAGTGCATCTTACTGGACTGGGAGCTCTCCCTGAGGACAGGCCCTGTCTGATTTTCACTTTGCATCTTTCCATCTCCAGAATACAGAAGGCGCCTAATAAAAGCTTGCTCTTGTCACTGGAAGGCAGCGGCAGAAGGGTCCTCTGGGAAAGAGCTCTGTAAAGCAGGGACTCACTCGCCCGCCCCCCCCCCCCCCGGTCCCCCTTGGATAGATTCAGATTTTCATCAGGCAGCTGGCTTTTTGCGGGACCTGCCCAGCCAACACTCACTGCTTTGCTGAGGACCTGTGGTTGCTGTCCGAGGGCTCCCGTGATGCCAGGGTGGCAGAGCCAGGCAGACCGAGCCCGCGAGGAGCCTGGCGTTTCTGCTCTACCTCGGACTGGAAACCCGGCCTGCTGACAGCACGTGTGCTGCCCAGGCCCCTCTCCTGGGTGAACCATATGCCAACCCAGGCTTGGTCTGCGTGTGCTCTGCGCCAACGGCTTGGGCCGCACGTTTCTCCAACTTGCCAACAAATAACTCACTTGGACTCCATAAACAAAGTGACCTAAGAGGCCGGGCAGACATCAGTGGCCAAGGGGAAGAGGGAAGCCTGGATTTCAGTGGCCTTGACCACAGCCGACGAGACGCTGATCTCAGGGAGGGAGCCAGTGGGCAGGGAAGTCATTGACTGACATTCTGACGGGCAGATGCTGATCATGGGGAACTCTCCCAGGGCCCGTTCTCCAGAATGACCTGTGGTCAGCTTGCACAGGCAGGAACCCAGCAGCTCAGATTCCACAGGGGAACAGTGCACCCCACTTACCACACCCCACCACAGGGCATCGGCGTAGCTGCCAAACTCAATCTGGCCCGACTCGTTCACAGCATCCTTTTCCGCCAAATATACGAAGTAGGAAGAGAAGATTAGACCCAGAAACCCGATATACAAGGTGGTTATCAGCTCCTACAATGCAATCAAAGAAAAGGGTGCCGTCGGCAAACAGTACGAATGCCAAAGAGGATCGCAGGCCCCACCCCTGGAGAGCAGCCAAAGGGGAACAAATATGTACCCATTCACTTGTCCTAAAGTCAAGCACATTTCACCCAGGGAGCTCCAACTTCCAATATGCATTTCTCAGAACTCTTGGAAATGAATGGGCAGCCCCTCGCTCATTCCCTCCGTCTCCCCCACGGCCCCACCTTGAACACAGATGCTGCCGATGAATAGATGAGGCACCTCCACCAGTGGCTCTGGGACCCAGGCTGCCATATTGGCGATGGCCCCTTTACTACTGCCTAAGAGACCAAGCACAACATGGTGTGTGTGTGTGTGTGTGTGTGTGTGTGTGTGTGTGTGTGTGTGTATGAGCATGGCATGTGGGTGAGCCTGGCATGTGTGTGAGTCTGGTGTGTGGGTGAGCCTGGCATGTGGGTGAGCCTGGCATGCACGCACAGGAACAAGTTTTCTGATAACACTTGCAAGTCAAACAAGCCTCTTCCAAGAACCCTGGGACCAGGGCTGGCCCCTCCTCCCCTGCCCCTGCCCCAGGAAGCCCAGATCCTGCAAAGCAGACACTGGGGCCGCAGGACCCACCCCAGCTCACCTGCCGATGGATGAAGACCACCGAGCCCAGCAGTCGCCACGTTCCGCCCTGCCGGTCGACATGTAGCATCCGTAGAATCTGCAGGAAGCGAATCCCCCTAGGGACAGAGCAGACGAGCTCCTGAAGCCAGAAGCCTGAAGGCCTGGGCCCTTTGCCCTTCCCCTGGCTTGGGGTGGCCACAGGAATTTCAGGGGCCGGGCCCATCTTCCTGCCAGGGGATGGGGAGGACCTAGTAAGGTCTGCTGGGAAAGGCGGGCGGGAGGGGAGGAGATGGCGTCGGCTCTCCTGTCCCAGATTTGAGGGAGGGCATCCTCCTTCCGGGAAGGTGCCTTACAAGAGCAAGGCTTGAGCCCAACGAAGGAAGTCACAAGCTGTGTCTGGGGCTGGTCCCAGACAGGGGACGCCTTCTTTTACAAGATGCCAATGGGATGCCCGGGCTGGGTGTCACCACGTTGGCTCCAGCCACACTTCACGGCCGGAGGCATCTCCCTTCCACGAGTCCGTTTGCGTGTGGCCTGCCAGCCTAAACCACCAGCTCCTTGTTGGAAACGAGCCCGCTAAATGGTTACCAAAAAGCCTAGCCCTTGGGGAGAAGACAGAACAGAAGCAGAAGGAGCTCCTGGAGAGACGGGGGCCAAAGGGCCCACATTCCGCCTGGTTTGGCGGCAGGGGCTGCACTGGGGCTACACGGCCTGGCTCAGCCCATTACGAGCTGCCTGGGGGCAGGGGCTTCCTACTCCTCCCGGAATCGAATATGGACTCCACTACTGGGCCGTAATGACCCTTCCCGCTTCTTCACTCTCTGATCCATCCGCTGTCCTGCTCACTAATTCTCACACGATACGCCATCTCCCACTGCCGGCCTTCGACTCACCTTCTCCATAAAGCCTTTCCTGGGGTCACAGCCCCCCTCCCCAAACTACCTTGTGTATACAAGTTGTCTGTCCAATTCGAGTTCAAGGAGGTGCAGAGCCTGGTACACAGTATGCTTTTAACCAGTGCCTGTCGATTGGCACATTGATCAGACAATCCTGGGGGACCCCCTTCCCTCTCTGCTCCTCTAAAAAACCAAGGCGTCGGGGTCAGTCTCTCAGCTCCCGGACCCCTTGAAAGCCCGCCACCCAACGTCTGGAGAGGGGAGATGGCAGACAGGGGAGGATTCGCTACCGGAGGTGAGGCACCTCCAACGAGCAAGCAAAGAGGTCGGCCAGGAGGAGGCCTCGGAGGCGGAAGGGGGAATGATTACCTGATGGCTGACGTTGCAAAGACCTGCCCCTTGGAGCCCACACAGAGGACAATCATGGAGGCCACAACCACAATGAGGTCTGGAGGAGGAGAGACGGGAAGGCTGAAAGCTTGACCTTGTCATGGAATGTCTCTCAAAGGCACCGCTAACCCACCAATCACCGAGGACGGGACTGCCTGCTCACCCTGCCCCCGGCCCTGCCGCGTCCCGGCCCAGGCAGCCTTCTGTGAGAACAGCGCCCAAACACCCCCTTTGAGGAGATCCCTGGAACGGGCGCGGGAGGCAGCAAAGGACTCAGTGGGCAAACACCTGCGGAGTGGGAGCTAACTGGAAGGCCCCATGCTGGGCACTGAGGGGGAGGCGGGAGCGGGTAAGACCCAGCCCTGTCCTCAAGGGCCTGAGAGTTTCTTATGAGTGGGAAAAGCAAGGCAAGGGACCTTTGGCACTGGGGGCCGGACCTCAAGCCTGCGGTCCAGTTCTAACTCTCCTGCTTAGGGGACTTTGACCCAATCTCCACCCTAGCCTCCATAGGTCTCAGTTTCCTTTACTGTAAAGTGAGGAGCTCAGGCCTGAAGATGCCCTGCACCCAGGCTGTGGTTCCCTGATTATGGTTCACTTTTTCAAAGGACTCCACTATTCCAAGCCCAGGGGCGGCCTAGCGGGGCCACAGTGGTTGTTGTACTCATGAAACGTGAACTCAGCTGGCCAAGGGCACAGGAAGGAGCTGAGGCGGTCTGGGCTGAAACCTCAGCTCTGAGACTTTCTACCTTGGGAACCCAGGGCCAGGCCCTTCCCCTCTCTGGGACTATTTCCCACCCGTGAAATGAGAGGAATCAGCCTCCAGGGCTGCCAAGGGCCCCTTGGATACAGAATCCTATGCCTTCCTGCCTGCCCGCTGGTGGAGTGGGCCCCCGCCTGCCAAGCCCTGCTCCTCAGAACGGTCCCAGAGCTCCACGCTCATAAAACCAGATTCTCATTGGACAATAATCCCCAAGTTATCTTAATTCGGTCCCTGGAAATGTCAGCGCCCCTCAAACCCCTCCAGGCACACCCCTGAAAATCACCAGAGAGTGATTCAACAGCTTCCACCCAAACACACCCCAAGCAGCCCCCCTCCTCTGACCCGAGTTCGGGGGATCTCTCGGGGCTCTGGGTCGGACCCAATATGGCAGCCGGTGGGGAGGGTGGCTCGGCCCCTGGGCACTCAGCCAGGAAGTCTGAAGGCTGCTGGCCTTCGTGTCCCCTCTCTAAAGTTAGGAGGGAGGGGCCTTCCTGGGCATCTCCACGTGTTGCCATCCTTGGGCCTGGGCCTCCTAATGGGGCAGAAAGTGGGGCGTGTCCAGATCTAACTCTTGTTCACAGGGAGTCTCTCCCTCTATCTGGGCCTCAGTTTCCCTCCCGTCCAAAGACAGGATTGGACGGTGCAGTCCCTGGGTTCCTTCCAGCTTTGACATTCCAGACAGGCTTTTCCCTTTCGGATCAAGAATGCCCCAGCGCAGGGGGCTTCTCCAGGGCGGGGGGCCAGCAGCGGACCTCCCGATCCGAGGGGTGCCCGGCCCCAACACCGGACTCCAACTCACCGATGATGGAAATGGGCTTCCTGGCAAAGCGCAGCCGTCCCCAGATCCCCACGTACTTGCTGCGGCACCCCGCTGACCACAGACGAACCACATACTCCGTCCCAAAAAATACCACGAGTACAATTTCCTGTAAAAAGGAGAGGGGAAATGCCGTGAGTTCTCGGCTTCACTTGTTGGTCAGGGGCCCCGGGGTGGGGGGGCAGATGACCCAGCACCGAGGGAGGTTCTGCCCGTGGGCCGGCAGGGCTGAAGGACAGAGGCCCCCTCCAAGAGGGGGCAATCGAAAGTGCCTCCTATGTGCCAGACGCTATGAGCCAAGCCCTGTGCTCAGTGCTGGGGATAGAAACAAAAAGACAGTCCCTGCCTTCAGAGAGCCTCCACTGTAATGGGGGAGGGGACAACAGCTAGAGAAGTGGGGAGGGGGAGAGATGTGGAACAAATAAGTGTCCTGTCCTTTCCAGGGGGAGTTGTGGCTGTAATTACTGTTGGGGGGTGGGGTGGGGAGGATACCCAGAGATGGAGTCCACGGTCCCACGGAGGGGGCAGAGCTGGCAGGGAACCCTGATTCCTGGGCAAGGAAGCCAGCTTGGGGCAAAGCTTCCTGATGCGCCCCTGAGGGAGGGAAGGAGCCCCCTGGGGCAGGAACAGTCAAGCCTTCTGCTTGGCCGCTGGCTCGGCTGCCTGAACTCCCCAAGTGCTCCTCAGGCCCAGAGCCGAAGAGCTCGGGAAGCCGGGAGCCCACTGGGGGCCCATCGAGGCTCTGAGCGCAGGGAGATAAGGGAGCCTGGGCTCGGGCTGGGAGGGGGCGAGTGCAGGGAGCCGGGGGTTCTAAGGACACTCTCCAAATTATCAGAAGTCCTATGTGCTGAGCCAGCATCAAGAGAGCAGAAGGGGCAGGGCTGCTTTTCCTCCTCCAATTCCCATCACTGTTTGCTTCCTAGAGGGCCAGACTCCATGGTCCATTGGCAAGTACGGAAGTGGAGTCTCCCCCAAAGACAGGAGGCCAAGGAGCCCTCCGTGGGCGGTGTCACTAAAGTCTTTGGGAGACCAGGCCTGGAGGGAGAGGCCTGACAGCTCACAGGACTTCCAGCTTTCACTCCCGTTGTCTGAATCAAGGCTTATTGACCTGAAGGATCCAGTGCTCAGGGACTGCTGGGGTAAAGGCACCTGGGCCATCTGTCCTTCCTGGATTCCCAGAGACGTCCAGTGTCTGTCAGCAGCCGAGCCAGCACCCTCCCCTGCCCGTGGCCAAGAGGCAGATAGAAATCGTGTATAAGGCGTGTGCTTG